AATTAAATATTAAATCTATGTGAAAAATAATAGAAAAAAAGAAGACATATCCTAACCAGGAGCACAAGTGCTTTTTAGATGGAAGAGCGCAATATAGTGGAACAGAAATCAACTAAATCAACTGAACACAGGTTAAATCAATGTTTAGTTGATTTCTGTTCCACTATATTGCGCTCTCTTCCATCTAAAAAGCACTCGTGCTCCTGGTCAGGATATGCCTTTTTTTGTTCAATCTATGTGTTTTGGATTTATTTATTTAATACTCAATGTATTTTTACCTTTTGTGCTCACTTTTGTTTATATTATAATTACCAAATCTAATTACTGCATACCGTGCATGCAATGTATTAACTCCATACATCTATATTGTACTTATTATATGTAGTTTTTATTAATTAATCTATATTGACTTAATGCTAAGAATATATAAGAAAAATATGATCATATGATTGATACCTATTTATTTTTATTTCTTTAAAAAATAGACACTTTGGCCGGTCAAAAGTTTATTTTCTCAACGTTTCACAAAAAATATTTTGCCTTCGTTTGGAAAAAATCATTTCACAAGGCGTTAAAAATTGTTATGCTTCTTTGAAAAACAGATACTTCTGCCAGGTGACACGCTGAGAAAATAAAACTTCAACTGGCCAAAGTGTCTATTTTGAAAAAATAAATATGAATACTAGCCAGGCAGCCTCTATCTTTATTCTGTTATTAACTTTATAAATTCAGCTTATATGCTTGATATACATATATGAAAATTACATTAATAAAACTAAATGTATATTGTGTCTTTTTTATTTATAACTTTTCTCTTATAATTTATTTTTTTAACATTAAGGTATAAACAAACCATGTGTAAACAATTTTGTAATTCATAAATATAGTTTGAGGATATTTTAATTCACCAACTTATTTTGCCCCAGAGGAATACGAATTGTGATATTTCTTTAAAAAATAGAGTTTACTATTTATATGAAGATCTTGTTCACTATATATATATTCATAAATAAAATTCCATTCTTCGGGAATTCTCGAGATCATAAAACCTGTAAGAAGAGCTTAACATTGAAGTAAAATATCGGTGTTAAGCTCTTAGTGCACAGGTTTTATACTTTATTTTTAATTTCATATATATCTATGCATCCCGAAACAGACCCTACCTGCATCCACTATTCAGAAGAGCCACAGACAGTCGATCATCTTCTCTTCAGCTGTCCAGTATTCCTGAGACATAGAATGCAAACAGCTATCTGCTTGGACTGACCCACCTCAATCCTAGATCTATGGCCAGCCTCCCAGACTCAACCTCAGCATGGAACTTCTTGGTCAACTAATTCCACTCAGTAATCAAAACAGGACGCGAATAAAACGCTCAACACTAGTCCATACTAGTGGGCTGGACCCCCCCGGGTAGTTGTGTTCTGCGCTCCCTGGGTTATAAATCTCTCTCTCTCTATTTCTCTAAATATTCTGAAAATCATTTGTTGGTTGGAAGAACACAGCCACATCAACCAATGATAACTCCCGACATTTCAGTGACTTGCTGGGATCATGTGGAGAGTGACAGAAAGTCACTGAATATATTGGTTTATTTGGCTATATTTGTTCTGAATCTATAAATATTGGTACATTTAAAATAATGTGTGTGTTCATCACTATTCATATACATTTAAGATAATTTTAGGTGTTATTATTCAATATTTTAATAATTCCTGTAACACTTAAGTATGGTATTATTATGGATGGAAAATGCAGCTTATTTCATAGTTTTATCATATATTTTCTCTAATCCATCAGTTAATTGTTTGAACCAACTCGTGCAGACCATGCTTTCTTAGTATATTAATGATATGCTAGTAGATATTGTAGATATCTTGGCTTGTTTAGGCCACAGCACTGTGCTCCAGGGATACCCCACAAGCCAGTTTTATAATATTTTGATTTATATGTATTTTAAGAGTAGAGCTGTAGAGTTATATAGAGAGATAGGTTCTATCAGGGTTTGATATAAACACCCTCTAGTCTTAGTTTGATACTAGAGAATAAAAATATCATATATACAAACAAGGCTGTACTTCAATGATAAATCAAGATAAGTACAGTTTTTACTTCGGTATTGTTATTTCCATGTACTCAACCATCTTAAATACACTATTTTAACTAAGAATGGATAGATTGTCATTATTAGTTAAAGTAAATATATCCTGATATCTTGTTGGTTTTAATTTTGACTTTTAAAATGTTAAAATTTATGTCATAATTCTAATATAATATATTTTTATTTTTCCTCATACTATTTTCTATCTAAAAATTCAACATAAGTAATTGAAATTAAAAACAATAATAAAAAGATAGCATATAAAGATCCGCTACCAATTAAAAGGTTCAATAATAAACGACAACAATGTATTTTTAAAACAAAATTTCCATTCTGTAACTTGTGACTTCTTCCTATATAATCCACCGTTATTCACACCATATAATGTTTGAAAATGGAGTTGTTATAAATAACATTAAACTTCTCTAATATTAACAACCTCCCTGAGCGTCCATTCTGTAACTTGTGTGTTCTTCTTATACAATCCACCGTTATTCACATTTTATCATGGTTGAATATGGAATTGCCCGAAATTACAGTAAATGTCTCTCATATTGACCACCTCTCTGAGCGTTCATCTTTGAGTGTGTGTGTGTGTGTGAACAATAAAAAAATACTTAAACTGGACTAACCTATTCTCTAATAAGAGAAAGCTCCCAGAAGAGAAGGAATATATGATGTTTTAGAAGGATATTTTGAGATATTTTACTATTATAGAATTTACTTTAGAATTAAAGAATATTAATTTTCAGAAATTGTCTGTTGCAGAAGTATGAAGCCACGACGACCTGGGATGGCCTTTCTTTTTGTATATATTATCTGTATATAGTTAGGTTTATGTTCAATGTTGTATTGTGTTGTGCTGTTTTGTGTCGTATTGTGTTGTGTCGTGTTGTGCTGTGTTGTGTCGTGTTGTGTTGTATTGTGTTGTGCTGTGTTGGAGTGCGTCAAATATTAGACAATTATCAATATTCTTTGTAGATAATGCTTATAAAGGATGTCGGATAATGTGAAAGTCCTTAACTGCTCGTATATAATGGTGAAAATACTAAAATGGGATATTCTCTTCAAATTAAGAAATCTCAAAAAGAAGTGAATGTTGAGCTCTTCCAGCCTAAAGGAAAATCGCGAATTGCACAAATAATATCTCTTCTAAGTGTTCTCGACGATAAGTGTGATAAAGATTCTTCTGAACATTTTCTCAACCTATTGAACTACATAATGCAAGGGATGAAGATCAAATCGGAAATTATCACTCGAATCAAATATATGTGTCTTACAAATATATTCAAAATGAACTTTAGATTTGGTATTAAGCAAACCAAGCTTCAAACCATCATGTCTTGAACAAAATATTGGAAAGGTAATCAATTTAAATTGGCCAGGATGAATGGTCACTTCGTGGTTGTCATTTCATGCGCTAAGAAGCTTGAATACCTAATCAGATATGGACTGGATCTTGAAAACAGGTTTCAAACACAAAATTGATGAAGTAAATAACCTTTCGTAAATATAATTTCTCTTTTGAAGACAATGATGCAGCAGAAGAGTGTAAATCGCATTGGAATATGTCTTTGATGTCCTTCTCAACCAAGAATCTTTCAGAGGTTACAAAAAGACGAACGTCAAGCAACAGACCCTATATCCTGATACCTGAAGGGCTATGTCAACTTAGCTACCTATCTATTTGTAATACGACTTCAAGACGCCATCTCATGTGGGTTTTGATTTTTACTGGATCAGTTGAATGTGTTGCTATCGTCGGGAAGAGCGCAAGCTGATTGAACTGATAATCACGGTGAAAAAGCCTTACCAATTATCCATCAAAGACCGAGTACTCCAGCATTTCCAAGGAGAACTACATCCCAAGTTATTGATTCTACTAACCCACATCTGCATTAAACAATCCCACTTCACCGTCTCTCGCTCCAGTTCTTCTAGTTCAGAACACGGGAATTTCTAAACTACTGCACTCTTTTAAATCTCCTTCAACACGAACACTCTTGGTGATAATGATGGACCTTAATACTTTTAAAGGAATTTTCTAAACTCAGGTAATTCTCTAAATACGTTTAAACATCCAATAATTTTTTCCCTTTACTAATATATTATTTTTATCTAGAGAATAATACATTTCATACATGAGTAAATGTATGCGTTTCCTGGTGATGGGACATATGAGACACACATAGATAGGAATATGACTTTGACTGTTAGCATTTAGTGGGGTTAGTAGGACAGCTTTCATGCCTAGAGTTGTTTTACCAGAAGAACAAGACTCTAGACATCCTGTTCTGACCAGCGTCACCTCCCCGCCACGCTGAAAATATGAAGAGTAATGGCGAACGGAAAAATAAAAGTGTCCAGGGGCGGGAATCGAACCTACATTTTATTTTTTCCGTTCGCCATTACTCTTCATATTTTCACCCTCTCATACTTCATTCAAAAAAGTTAGAAATGGTCGCTATTTCTCTTTGAAATGAATTTCGATTTTTGTATAAAAGAAACATTCGCGGTATAATTGCAATTTTCGTTTTACAATCATCAGCCGCGTTATATTGTATTTTAAATTTACTTTATATAATATTTACGAACGGAGAAATATGTCCAGGGTAGCCTAGTGGACATGGCACCTGCCCGGTAAGCAGAAGGTTGTGGGTTCGATTCCCGCCCCTGGACACTTTTATTTTTCCGTTCGCCATTACTCTTCATATTTTCACCCTCTCATACTTCATTCAAAAAAGTTAGAAATGGTCGCTATTTCTCTTTGAAATAAATTTCGATTTTTGTATAAAAGAAACATTCGCGGTATAATTGCAATTTTCGTTTTACAATCATCAGCCGCGTTATAATGTATTTTAAATTTACTTTATATAATATTTACGAACGGAGAAATATGTCCAGGGTAGCCTAGTGGACATGGCACCTGCCCGGTAAGCAGAAGGTTGTGGGTTCGATTCCCACCCCTGGACACTTTTATTTTTCCGTTCGCCATTACTCTTCATATTTTCACCCTCTCATACTTCATTCAAAAAAGTTAGAAATGGTCGCTATTTCTCTTTGAAATAAATTTCGATTTTTGTATAAAAGAAACATTCGCGGTATAATTGCAATTTTCGTTTTACAATCATCAGCCGCGTTATATTGTATTTTAAATTTACTTTATATAATATTTACGAACGGAGAAATATGTCCAGGGTAGCCTAGTGGACATGGCACCTGCCCGGTAAGCAGAAGGTTGTGGGTTCGATTCCCGCCCCTGGACACTTTTATTTTTCCGTTCGCCATTACTCTTCATATTTTCACCCTCTCATACTTCATTCAAAAAAGTTAGAAATGGTCGCTATTTCTCTTTGAAATAAATTTCGATTTTTGTATAAAAGAAACATTCGCGGTATAATTGCAATTTTCGTTTTACAATCATCAGCCGCGTTATATTGTATTTTAAATTTACTTTATATAATACTAGACGAATGACCCGGGCAACGCCCGGGTTTACCCGATTAAATGTTTTATTCAAACACTATTCGTTACAATTATAAATTTGGCGCCGTGGATGTCACTCTTGTGAAACGTCCCGCTCCCAACTTTACATGTACATTAGGTCAGCTGATATTACCTCCCATCTTCACCGCTAGAGGCGTTGCTCGCGAGCAAAAGGGCAAACTCGACGAATATTCGGGATAGAGACCTGAAAATTTCACTATAAGTTTTTCTAGATTCTACTCTATATACTGTTAAAATTTCAGTCAGATTAGTTAAGATATAAATCTTCAAATCGAGCGAGCGTCTATAAATATTTCGATTTAGATCAAGTATTTTAATTATTAAGCGAACTATTATTAATAAAATTTTGAGAAGATTTCGATTTTAAACGTATTTATAACCTTGATAGAGGGCGCTGTTCGTGAGCCAAGTAGAATAATTTGAATATATAGTTTTAATATTTAATTTATATATAATTTAAAATAGCCTATCGTTTTCCTCGTATGTATGGAAATTTTGGTACTGTAAAAAAAAACTTTGCTTCAATAATATATAAAAAAAAAAAACACCCAGGCTAAGTTTCGAACCAAGGTTGTGGAAACACGAAGCCGCACACCTAAACATTAAGCTACGCTTGGCAGCATAAATATTCGCATGTAAAGCTATTTCAGGCCTTAGATATTTCTAACGACCTTTTTGAAATAGGTTTTTGAAACATGGAAATTATAATACTTCAAATAAATTGAAATAGAGTGAACACAAATAAAACATACCAAATATTTAGAATTAGAGCAGTTATTTTAAACGGCGAATTAGGTCAATTATATCTAAAAATGAAAATATATAAATAAATATAACATACCAAATATTTCAAGAGCAGTTATTTTAAACGGCGAATTAGATCAGTTATATCTAAAAATGAAAATATATAAATAAATAAAACCTACCAAATATTTCAAATTAAAGCAGTTATTATATAAATATTTATATTATATTGGGCAAAACGATAATTGCCTTAAAAAGAAATTGCCTTAAAAAAAGAAACATTAGCGGTGATTTTGTCTTGCATTCGTTTATACAAATACGGAAGGTCGTGGGTTCGATTCCCATCCCTTGACACTTTTTTTTATTTTATCCATTCTGACCTAAATCTATCCGTTAACTTCACACAGTGAACTTCACACAGACAGAATAAGGCAATTATATAAGTAGATTTACGAACGGAGAAATATGTCCAGGGTAGCCTAGTGGACATGGCACCTGCCCGGTAAGCAGAAGGTTGTGGGTTCGATTCCCGCCCCTGGACACTTTTATTTTCCCGTTCGCCATTACTCTTCATATTTTCACCCTCTCATACTTCATTCAAAAAAGTTAGAAATGGTCGCTATTTCTCTTTGAAATAAATTTCGATTTTTGTATAAAAGAAACATTCGCGGTATAATTGCAATTTTCGTTTTACAATCATCAGCCGCGTTATATTGTATTTTAAATTTACTTTATATAATATTTACGAACGGAGAAATATGTCCAGGGTAGCCTAGTGGACATGGCACCTGCCCGGGAAGCAGAAGGTTGTGGGTTCGATTCCCGCCCCTGGACACTTTTATTTTTCCGTTCGCCATTACTCTTCATATTTTCACCCTCTCATACTTCATTCAAAAAAGTTAGAAATGGTCGCTATTTCTCTTTGAAATAAATTTCGATTTTTGTATATAAGAAACATTCGCGGTATAATTGCAATTTTCGTTTTACAATCATCAGCCGCGTTATATTGTATTTTAGAACTATAATGTTTCCAAATACTGGAAGGTTTCTCAGAATTGATTTACCTGATAAGGGCGACCACCTTTCTATACACACACACACACACACACACACACTCGAGCGTGCGGCCACGCTTTTGCGAGCTCCGCCGTTTTCGCCTTTTGAGTGCGTGTAAAAGGCGCTTAGTCTGGCAAGTGAGGTATTGGCGGAAAGCCCAGGATGTGCTGAAGAAGTGCCTGAAAGGCCCAGCATCCTGCTACCAACAGGCGAGGAATTATCGCCAAAAGAAATAAATATGAAGAAAACTAATTAAATTTCTTCTGAAATTCAAAAATATGCAAATTCGCCGGCAGGCGACATGCATGCAAATCTGGCCGCCGCACGTGGTGACGTCACGGCGCCGCCGACTGCTGCCTCGACCAGCGACACATCACCCAACCCGACCTCGCTCAACTGGGCCGACAGCGAGATGGCGGAGGTCGACGCCAACGACGGCTACACCGTTGTCAAGAGCAAGAAAAGGCGCCGCACTTCATCGCCGGAGCACGCCGCAAAGCAGCCTGGCAGGCCTGCTGAGAAGCCCAGCTCCCAGCAGCAGAAGCGGCCATCTGGGTCGAGGTCAATGCCGCCCCAGGAAATCAAGGCGACGCGCGCCAACATCGCCGCAGCCAGGGCGAGGCAGGCCACCACCAACCACGAGAACTACATCTTCGTGGAGCTGTGCCCTGACATTCCGGACTACTCCTACCTCAAGGCAATTGGCATGCTGGTCGGAGGGCCAGGGAGAATAAGCCAATTCAACAGGATGAACGGCCACTACGTCGTGGCTCGCGACCAAGGACCATGCGAGCCGTCTGGTGGAGGTGGGCCTTGACATCGAGGGAACTCACCTGAAGGTCTTTCCCTTCCGAAAAAGGGCAGAACGCATCGTCATCGCAAATCTGCCCGGCTTCGTCGAGGACAGCGCCATCGTGGAGGCCCTGCGCAACTTCGGCACCGTGACCTCCATCGCCCCCATCATGATCAAGATGGGGGAGTATACCTTCAACGACGGCCGCCTGGAGGCGTTCATCCTGCTCCGCGAGGGCGTGCGGCTGGAGTCGCTGCCCACCAGAATGACCATCAAGTCCAAAGGAGACACCCTGTCTGCCTTCCTCTCCTTTGGCATCAAGTGCTCGAAATGCGGGAAACAGGGCCACCGCAGAGCCAACTGCCCAGCGCTCGCCAGGCAAGGGAACGGCAGCCCCAGGCAAACAGCGTCTCCCACCGACGCAAGGCCTCCCCCACCCTCCTCCTCCTCTTCCTCCTCAGCAGCCAAGGAAGCCGGCACCTGCGCCCGCAACACCGGCGTCCCCTGTCCAACCGGCGAAGACAACAACCAAGGCTCCGGCGATCCCCTCGGCGCCCCATCCTGCCGAACCGATGGATCTCGCCCAGCCCGCCCCTGCCGCCCTCCCTGCTCCCCTGGCTGCCCCGCGGCCCCTCGAGCCTGGCATCCCTTCGCTTGACCACAAGATGGCGGTGGAGAAGATGACCTCATCTCCCTCCACGCCTGCCCGGGGAGAATCCGCACTCAAACAGCTGCTGAAGCACATCGAGGAGACCCCCACCCTTTCCATCGACTGTGACAAGCTGCCCGGCCTTAACTGCAAGGACGCACAGCAGCTCCTCACCTCTGAAACCACCATGAAGAGGCTAGCGCCCACGCTGACAGAGGCACAGGTCGCCACCCTCGACGAGTTGCAAGGCCTCGTGCCCAGACTCCAACTCCACCATCCGCAAGACCCTCCAGAAGACCAGGAAGGTCCTGCGTGGCCTACAGCGCCAATGAACCACCGCGTCGCCACCATCAACGCGCGAGGGCTCGCCACTCGGGGGAGGAGCCTTGGCCTTTGTCATCTCCTCAGGCAACATCACGTGGACATCGCGTTTGTCCAGGAGACAAACGCATTTCATCTGGGCAGCGGCCAAGACCTCTGCCTCGGCTACAGCGCATTTGTATTGGCCCATCCCGTAGCCATCTCGGGATCTGGACTCGCCTGCGTCTTCGGACCAGGCGTAGCCGTGCTGCAACAGCGCATCCTGTGGCCGTGCCACATCGCCTTGGCAGCCATAGATGTCCACGGCGAGGAGATGACGGCCATCGCCGTTCATCTGGCGCATGAACCCCGGGAGAGAAACCGGCAACTGGAGCTCCTGGCGACGACAGCGGCACAGAAGGAGGCCTGCTGGATCATCGGCGATTTTAATATCAGGGATCGGGGCCCCTCATCATCGTCATCGTCGGATGCCCTCGCCGCTCTTCTGGACCTGGCCGCGCTGGTCGACGTGGCCACCCAGTTCGACGCCGCCCACCTGCCCACCAGAGTCGCCATGCAAGGCGACCAAATCGAATCCAACCGCCTGGACCGGATCCTCGTCCCTGCTGGAGTCCTGGATCGCGTGTCCATCTACGCGACCAGCCACTACCACCTCTCGGACCACCGCCTCGTGCTGCTCCAGGTGGGCCCGCCCACCACCGCCATTTCCTCCCCCACCCAGCCTCGCTTGGCCGCGATGCTCCGCTCGGGCCTCGTTCTCGATCATCTGGCTGGCTACATCCGGGAGCTCGAGGAAGAAATGTCGCACGATGACGACGACGGGATCCTATGGGACAGGTGGACCACCATCAAGGCGGGACTGCTGGCGAAGGCCAGATCCCTGCACGATCCGCGCCACGCTG